CTTGACATTTTGGACCATGCAATTCTTTGTTGGAGAATGGGGTTGGGGATATCTCCTGTGCCCTATAGAATGTTTAGCAGCATCCATGGCCTTTTTAAAATTTCTATTTTGAGACAAGGTCTTGTTAAGTTTTAGCCTTGAACTTTCAATCCTCCTGCCCAAAGACAACCTTTTTCTTTTTTTTCTTTTTTTTTTTTTTTGTCGTGCTGGGGATCTTGTGCATGCGAGGTACGCATTCTACCAACTGAGCTATATCCCCAGCCCCAAAGACAACTTTTTAATAATTCTAATTATTACTAAATGACTTCATTCTAGGATTTAATTTTCTAATTAGTGGTAATTATGGCTCCAGTGTATCCACGTGTGGACACTTAGAAGAAAGGTCCTTGAATTGGAACATTAAAACATGGRTTCAGAACACCCCTTTTAACCTACCAGTACCTTAGGTTAACTAATTCAGTCTTCTATAAGATTATATGCCTCCTCGGGAAGATGCATCGATATGGCTTGCTGAGAAATCTTGTATTAAATACTAGCCATATTATAGATACACAATTAATTCAATGGCAACGCTAAATGAAGTCCCGGGATATCATTTCGTTGCCCTTCAAAATGCTAACTCTCGTCTTCTCGTTGGGTCTTACCTTTTCCCATCACTTAAAGGCTAGCTAGACAATAGATTTCATAGTTATTTTTATTCCAGGGGCTATAGTCAGCAAGTAGGCCAAATGAGACTTAAATAATTCACAAGTTAACATTACTACAGGAATACCTAAGCAGAAGAGCAACAAATATAGGCAAAGGAGACGAGGAATTGGGCTGTGGGTCGGGTGCAATCTTATTCAATTCAGCTCAATTTTTTTAATCAGCCCTAGCCGCGGGTCTTAGTTTCATTTTTCCGAAGTGCAAAACAGAAGCTTGATGGGAAGAGGCGGAACCGCCGCAAGAGCCCTGCTCGCGACCCCGCTGGAAACCCAGCCTCTGCCGTCCGTCCCCGCGCAGCCACCAGCCCCTCACCTTCGGCGCTGTCGCGGGTCCGGTGGAAGTCCTCCGAGCGGCCGTCGCGGAAGGCCCGGCAAAGAGAAAGGCAGAGGAAATCGAGCATCCAGCCAGCAGCCACTGCCTCGGCCTCCGCCACCAGGTCCGCGTCTTCCCCCTCTTCTTCCTCCTCCTCCTCCGCCTCCCCCCCCTCTTCCTCAGGGGCCCCCAACTGCATCTGACAGTCGGTCAGTTCCTGGTACTCAAACTGTTCTAGTTCCTCTCTGGCCCTCTCCATCCCTTCTCGATGGGAGAACTCTTCATCCTCCCCGTCCGCACGGCCCCGTGGGCTCGGAGCCGCTGAGGAAGCGGACTCCGCCATGTTGTGTCCTCGCGCGGGTCGWGCCTTTTCGAGCGGCGAGCCACGATTGGCTCGCGCTAGAGGGCATGGAGCATGACCAAGGCGGGTCTCTTCCGTCGGCGAAAAACCACCCAATCACACCGCCGGGATGGGCGAGCAACTCGAACCTGGCTTCTGATTGGTCGGTTCCTGCTCCAGTCTCTGGACTTTGAATTCCCCGCCAGTCGGTGGCCAGCGCTCTGCTGGTAAACCTGCGTCTATAGTAATGACAGGCTGGGCTGATGCGGAAGCGGGAGTCTGCCTTTTCCCTTCTTTTAAAATGTAACCTTGACTAGAAACAAGGTCCGTGGAAATGTATTTTACCTACAACGTAGTTAAAAAGGAGATAGATCCTAGTGTTTATCTAACGCAGTACATGATCATAAACCAAAACTGATACCCGTGTTTTCCAATTTTTAGGTACATAATKTTCAGCTCTGGGGCTGGTTAAAAAGTAATTCATGGGCTTTCGAGTTTCTGTTCTCTAGTTCTGGCTTGGGGAATCCTTGAATTTTGCACGTTTAATAAGCTTTCCAGGTGATGCTGAGGCCCTTGTTTGAGGACCACATTTTGAGAACCACTGTTTTAGAAAGAGTACATTGTTAGGCTGGGCCGTGCAGCAGCACTCCTGCAATCTCAAGGGAGCCTGGGGCAGGAGGATTGCCAGCCTCAGYAATTTGGAGAGACTGTCTCAAAAAAGAGAGAACATCTGGCTATGTAGGTCAGTGGTGAAGCACCCCTTTACCGAGTTCACGCTACAGTACCAAAAACAACAAAACCCTTCATTAATAACTCCTTAATATCCAGACTACATATGTATTTTTGAAATGTTCTTTTCCTGTTGTGTGCCTTTTATACTGTTAGAATGGTAAACATAATACTATTCCTTTCCATGAAGAATTAAGGTCCTGTTGAGGAAACAAGAAAGATACAAAGTACACAAATTCATGGGTATTGCTAACCATACCCTAATAGTGTTACCAGAATCCTAGGCCAGAGGCCTGATTCTGGGGATCCAATAAATCAGAGCCAGCTGTAACAGAGGTTCACTTGATGCTTTGACTATATCCCTTGTCGCTTTTTTTTTCTTTTTTCCCAATCTTCTCCCTGATCTTCTTTTCCCTAACATCCTTCTTGATCTACTTTTCCCTAATSTTCCTGACCTTCTCCTCCCTAATCTCATTTTCTCTGGATCACCCCTAGAAGCCCCCTATTCTTGCTAATGGGCAGAATCACAGCCTTTGGGACAGGGGGTCCCCCCCCCTCCACCCCATATTTCTCCTTTGCCAGCAAAACAATAAATCATTTTCCTTTTTCTTAAAACCGTGTCCTCATTATTTGATTGGCATTCAGGGGGCAAGGACCCAGCTTTTGATAACATAGCTACTCACCCCCAAAATCAAACAGAAATGGTAATGGTGAAAAGCATGAAAGGAACTTCCTGAAATAGCTACACCAGGAAGACAAAGGGACCCAAGTTTTTAATCCTGTCTTTGAGGAACAGACACCTACCTTGTAGTTTTATAGGAAAAGGAAGGAGGGCAAGGATTTGCACAACTGAAGCCTTTTTACAACTGCCTGAGTAGGTAATCTTGATCAGGTGTGATCTGTCCACCATTTCAGAATTGGTCAGACTGGGTCCCAGATAAGAAAGTTGCTGTTGCCTGGGTCTGACTTCTCCTCACAAGATGTTTATCAGATCAGATCTCATTCCTGGAATCCAAAGTGATTCAGAGCAAAGGAGACTGATGCAAAATGGAGGCAGAAATGCCAAATCTTTAATCATCTTTTAGCCACCCATCATATGTATAAATGAAGAGTCTAAGTCCTTATTACAATAGGAATTTGGTGGAGATGTCACTGGTGGAATTCCCAGACAGGCGGACCTTGACAGTGGACCAGAAGGGACTTTGATGGAAAAGAATTTCAGCACCTGTCACTACGTAGTGGCACAAATTTATTTAGGAAAAAAAGGAAATAGACATTCAAGGGAGAATGAGAGCCATCTTGAAAGTGAGAAAATTGCTTTTGAGATTCCTGGCTTCTCTTTTAAAGGGAACTGGAGAGGGGTAGATATGTGAGGCTGATGTCTGGTCATTCTCAGGATCCTTAAGCTGTTGTGCTTTCCATTCTAGGATTGATAAAAAATGTTGGAAAGCTCCCTCAGTTTCTTTTTTAAAAATATTTTTTARTTGTAGTTGGATACAATATCTTTAATTAATTATTATTATTATTTTTTAAATGTGGTGCTGTTACCGCTGTTTACCGGTGACGAGTCCTTGCTTCCCCAATGCTGAAGTATAACACCAGAGGAACATGCCCAGGCAAGTTTAGAGTGGAAAGTAAAAGCTTTATTAAAGGACAGCAGAAAAGACTTCTGTCCTTTGTTCTGTTATCTTGCAGTGATAAAATGTAGGTGGGA